AAGTTGTAAGCAAGCCAGTATAGAAGGTAAATCTCTAAAATGAATGATGCAGTCTACCTCTTTTCTAGCCTTTAAAAGAGCTTCATCATCGGAGCACACTGGAATCACATGGGATGACTCAGAAGCATATCGCTTCACTATGGAAATATCATCAATGAAAGATGAAGTCTTGCCACACTCACCCAAAAGAGTAAGGAGCTTTCTGCGCATAAATGACGGTGGCGAACCAAAATCAGGTCCTAAAACGAGAAGCAAAGACATACGTAAAAATTTAAATATAAATTTCCAAATGAAGAAACAAAACTACACATATTTCATATGATACATCTCCTAGACTGTAAGGTATATTTGAGTTTCTAGATGTAAAAGACTAGAATCAATGTACAATTTTCTTGATGCCACATCCATAAGACTCTAGCTAAATCTCAAAATTTATCTACTGATGATTAAATGTGAACACGTAGGAAAGAATCACTTACCATTTCTAATCTTTAACAGAGCCAGTTCCATAGCAGCTCTTGCATCTTCAATACTATCATGTCCATTCCCCGATTGCTGTATCTCGCTAGAAAGAAATCTCTTGGCAAGAACTCGAAGAGCAGTTTTGTAAGATCCACCACGAGGGTGTTTGTATAATACAGAGGTATCAATTACCAAATCATGAGAAATCTTCAAAGCTAATAAGTCATTTTCCAAGGAGTGCCCAATTAGGATGGTATCTTTGTAAACCAGCTTTAGAAAATCTTCCTGAAGATGGGAAGCAACTGTAAATAGTTCATATAAGACTATTGTTTAATGGGAAATCATATGAGAATAGTGAAGTAAAATATACTGTCATTGATTGGTGACAGTAAACAAAGGGTAATGAACCTGAACATCTTGAAGACTTGTAGTCACTTCACTCAGTATCTCGTATGTGATTCCGCTATACCTGCTTAAGCAATAAAGACCATTATCAAATGAACTAATGATTGGGAATAACAAAGTGTTGTGTCTGTGTGTAGAGAGAGAGAGAGAGAGAGAGAGATCTCAGAGGTGGATGACCAGAGATACCAAATCTGTCAATACAGATTTGAACAAACACTTTGGCACATGGGAATTGAATTGGGAAAAATTTTCAGAAAAGAAACTTCAGAATAAGCTGATCAACCATTTCTATGCCAGTCACATAACATTAAAGAGAAAGTAGACGAAAGGAAAGATGATCTTTATGTATCTGGAAAAAAAAAATACCTACACTTCAACCCCTTTTTCAGGATTACAGCTTCTCAGCTATGACTGCACTGCAGTTAAAAAAAATGAAAAATTCCACTAGGGCCTAACTACATTCCAAATAACATTTACCTTGTGTTGTAATCAGTGATAGGGTTGGATGGTTTAACCAATTTATCTAGTACAACCTGTCAAAAAATTGCATCACAGGATTAGTGGAGCAAATAATCAGGTAGTTAGACATAATCAATTTTACAAGTACAACATCCCATTAAAGAATTTATTTACCTAGGATAAGGATAAACCTAATAATGTTCTAAATTCTAGGATCAAGATAGAAGCATAAAAATTTGAACCAACAACATGATGCAGCAACAAGAAAGATGATTTACTCTATTTTTTTCTGCCCTTTTTACGGCGATGAGTAAAAAATTGTAAAAATAGTTCTTTGAAAAGACATATAAGGTGTGAGCTTTATTTTGATGCATTAAATGTCAAGTATAGGCCACTAGCAAAATTATCTGAATGAAATTAAAATAAATTAAATCTACAAACATAACATGCATATAATAAGACTGTAATATGATAAAATAGTTACTGTAAACTGAAATGGTAAACAAAAAGAAAAATGAAAAAAAAAAAGAAAGAGAAAAGAATTAGTTTAACATGCCTGTCCTTTAATATCAACCAGGGTCACTCGTGTAAGCTCGAAACCCTCACTTGTTATACACTAGCACATGAAAGCAAGAGAAAATGAGAAGAAATATACAAGCCCATGATGAGGTAAGCATACAAATTAACTACATATATGCAAGAAAATTTAAAAGCATGCCCCAAAGCAAAGAAGCAAAATCTTTGCAGAGTAAATGAGAAACTTTTTTCTCAAACAAGCCTATTGGTAGAGAACATGATGCAAGAATATATAGACTACGTCCAAACCACAGGTGGGACTGGAGATAGATCAGCCTACCAAGCCAATTACATGGCAATTCTAGAAGGCAAAGCACTAACGCTTGTATGTTCAATCTTCTCACCAACTAAAACAGTAACAAATTTGCGGAAAGCAGAAAAGAGAAAGCAGAAAAACTAACATAGAGCATGAATAGAAGCTACCAGAGAAGGCTCTATCTCAAGCAAAACCTTCAAACCAGTGGACTACTCATAACCAAAAATTAATGCCCTGATCTAATTTTATATTTTTATACATTATTTGGACTTTATTTTAATTCAAACAATGAGGTCATCCACACTGCTAGAGACACAAAATGAAAGGAGAGCAATAAGTCCGGTGCCGATTTGTACCACCTTGAAAGCCAACATTGTAAAAACCATCAACTAACTTTACTCATTGACTTGGCTTGAATTTTGTTATCCGGTGACAAAAAAAAAAAAACACAATTGTTTACAATGAACTGGTTAAGTAAAGGACTACTGTGTCAGCCAATGTGAAATAAAAATGCTATTACAGACTTTTTTCTTTTAAAAAGTTAGCATGGCCTAAAAATGAAAAGTGAAAAATAATTATCACATGTTCAATGAAGAGAAACAAAGCAAGGAAGATTTTGGTAGAGACTAGCTCTTGCAAGAAAGGTACACTACTAACTTTAACTTATTCAGAGGAAAGCAACATTTTGTCACTTTACAGTCTTCAAACTTATAATTCACATGATTTTATCACATTCATCAATAAACAGCAAAAATGTCATTATTTTCATTCATAACTGACTTGTAGGTAGGATTTACCATTTCACAGTCAAGTGCCAATATTTTATAAGGAGAGGATCCAGCAGGAGCAGGAAGAGTAGAAACAAAACCTGCATGGAACAAATCCAATAATAAACCAAGGACATTTGAACAATGAAGAAACAAGACCAATATGCAAACAAAATTTTATGTGAAAATCAGAGAAGAACATTATTCTGACCTGGTTTATTAAGGCAATATCCATTGTCTTCTAGTTCCTTTGCTGTGAGTGTGTAATATGTAATGGGGAAAGGAAGATCTTTCAAGAGTTCTGTGGAGTCCATTTCAGAGATGGATCTTTCTGCATAAAGATGTCATTTTATTATCAAGAAATTATATGTTGGTAGAGATCCCCAAATAAGTTAGAATATTATTACACATAACATTTGGGATGTTCTGATGCTGAAAACAATGAAAAAGGTTTTGTCAAGAGGCAGACTACACTTTGCAACATCATAGCAATTGTCTCATCCTTTACCTAAAACTCTTTTAACAATCAAAGACATAACAAAAGTTAAATTTTTATGATGATGTGTGAGATATTATTATGATAAAAATGCAAAAATTTATAAAGAACCATGTGTAAGAAACTGGCACCAGAAAGTTTTAGCTATTCTATAGCTGAATAGAATTGTCCATGAATTTACACATCTAGTTATTTGATTTGTTTTCTTCTTGCAGAAAAGTTATCTGTCAATTTTTTTAAATGATTCGTGATTTTATACATCAACTGATGAGATGGCATTTTGAGTATAGGTGCAGCCAAACTACTGATTGATTGTCACCAAATAAGAGGATTACTGCCCAACCTAGAGTGAGCAGTAAAGAACTGAAACACCACTATCAACAAGCGAGGAACAGCTTGTTAGGACACCCTGATGAATACATGGGCTCATAGTGCCCCAGGCTTAGATTTTCTACTCACACAAGTTGGACTAGCACTGTTCTAGTGAAAACCTATTAACCATGTAGAGCACCTGATTCCACATATAAATAAGAAATTCATGCAAGCATAGAAGTGGACTGCACAAAGATAGGTGGTCAACCTTGTTCAGCAGACTGGCTTGTGTCCCTCACTGGATCAATTAGGTTTCTCTTTCTCTTCACCTTGCACGTTAGCAGTGCATCTATTGTCTGCATCCCATCTGATACACAGCTATAATGAACAACAGAAATCATAAGTATAACACATTGCAAATGGCACTAAACCTATCCTAATAGAAAACAAATTGGAAACAAAATCATTACCAACCTAAGAGCTAAAAGTGCCCTTGGATTGCCACAACTCTTTTTAAAACCAGAAAGTGTCTTGGATTGCGCTAAGTACAAAGCTGCATCCAGGCCAGGGACATAAAGCATGACAACTTTTGGAATCAGTGGCTTATTCTGCAAAACATATAAAACCCCATTTTTTATAACCTTCAGTAATGAAGCTTTTTGTTCCACACGTCCATCAGGAAACCAAGTAAATCGTAATAAATAACTTTATATTCTTTACCTTAATAAAAATCCAGGAAGGCATGAATCCTTCAGCAAGAACCCAGGTAACAAGTCCTTGAACGTCCTGGTATCAAAAGAAAAATACCCAGATATTAACTATGTTTATTACATTGTCAGTAGTTTGATTGATTGCAAAAGATTAAAAGGAGCATACAGAAGCTTACTTGCAAATTCAAAGTAGAGTTAGTTTCAGGAGTCTTGAAAACAATTTCTGCTTTTGCCTGCAAAGGGTAGGCTTTAGGGTTCATTTATTTCTCCTCTATATTAAGAAAAAACCCCCCAATAAATTAAATACAGAAAACTTGAAAGCAAGAGAAAAAGAGAGTACTTGAGGTCCATAAACATCATAGAAATTAGAGCTCTCATTATTTTCCTCCTCTGAGCTTGCTGCCCCTTCACTCTTTTCCTTTAAAGATGCCATCTTTAAAAAGAACTCCAATTCCGTCTCTGAATTTTTTATGGGAACCCAAAAAACAAAAAGGAATTTCGCCTAGGAGAGAAAGAGAGAACCAAGAAAAGTTTGGGCAATTCGGCAGAAAAGAACTGGAGAAGTAGTCTGAAATATACTAAGTTATGGCACTGGGCTGAACCGGGTTTGATGACCAGCCGTTCTAAGGTACGAAAACGGTGCGTTTTCAGCTCTTTAAGTAAAACCTGGAATATGTGGGGGCGAAGGCACGAGTAAAAGAAGCGGCGAGACAAAAATGTCGAAAACGCTGGTGCAGCCGATAGGGCAAAAGCGGCTGACGAACGTCGCCGTCGTGCGTTTGAAGAAACACGGCTTGCGATTCGAGATCGCCTGCTACAAAAACAAAGTCCTCTCCTGGCGTTCCCGCGTGTAAGTTAACGAACTTCTTTATATAATTTCTTTAAAATTTTAAAGTTTTTCCTGAAATTAATTAATTTATGGAAAAAAAAATCCGCCAAACAGAGAGAAGGATTTGGACGAAGTGTTACAGTCCCACACAGTTTACTCAAACGTTTCGAAAGGAGTACTTGCTAAGACCAAAGATTTGGTTGCTGCTTTTGGGACTGATGATCAGACTAACATTTGTTTAGAGGTAATTCAATTTTCAATTTCAAAGGTAATTTTGCATTTCTTTTGGAAATGCCTTTTATTTTTTGGATTGGATTTTTCTTTTTTCTTTTTTTTTTTTAGATTTTGGAGAAAGGGGAGCTACAAATTGCTGGGAAGGAAAGGGAATCTCAATTTTCTAGTCAGTTTCGGGATATCGCAACGATTGTTATGCAAAAGACTATCAACCCTGAAACTCAACGCCCTTATACTATTAGTATGATTGAGAGACTAATGCACGAAATTCATTTTTCTGTTGATCCCCATAGTAGCTCCAAGAAGCAGGTCTTTTTCTTCCTTTTTATATATATATATATATATATATATATATTTTGCCTTTTCTCGTTAAAGTATTTAGCTGTTTATTCTGCCAAAAGAACTGATGAGCCTTCTGATATGTAATGCAATTTTCATGTCATATTGAAACATGCATGTTTAATTTATCAAGCATTAACTGTGTTAAGTTTACTTTTCTTTGATTAAACGCAAATTTTCCAACATTTTGTCCATATTTAGATGAGTGAAGTGATGGCTGGTTTGCAATTAGTCATTTTGCAGCAGTATTATTATGTTGAAATTTGTGTATCTTTATGCTGGCTTTGTGTTGTCTTCGTGGCTTAAGGCTTTATATTTTGCAGGCACTAGAGGTTATTCGTGAGCTTCAGAAGAACTTCCCTATAAAACGGTCTCCCATGAGATTACGAATCACTGTTCCTGGACAAAATTTTCATTCTCTGTCTGAGAAGCTCGATGAATGGAGTGCTACCGTTGTTTCAAAAGATGAGTCTGGAAGTCAGCTATCAATTGTAAGTCCTGAGTACTTGCTGCATCCTCAATTTCCATGGGGAGAAGCGTTTTGACTCTTCATTTAGTCATTTTATTTTTTTCTCATAACTCTAGTTTTAAGTCTACTGCAACTTTAGCATTACTTGCTGGAATATTGAATCTGCTTGCTTCACACGGTTAGTTCTTCAATCATCACTGTATGTGAGTTATGTGAATGTGCTAACTTAATCCATCAAAAAATGTTCTTCGGACTGCCAGCAAGATTCGCTTTGAAGCTGAAATTGTTGGCTAACCAGGAAGTCAGGAACCATTCTATGAGGATACTTGAATGGTGTTGCAATTTTTGTTTATTGAGGTTTTTGTAGATTGTAATAACTACACGTGTGAAGCAAAACAAGGGGAAGATGTATATCCATACATAAAGTGTAAACCTTGTCAAGTAGGTAGAAACTCGTGTCCTTTTATAGAATTTTAGTTCTCATGAATATAATGTCTTTTAATTGCTTCATGTCTTCTTGCACCAGTAACTTTCTCTTATTCCACTGGGCTTAAAACTCATCCACAACTTTTATGCTGGCAGTGGTGTATAAGTTTAGATGTGCACTTCGCTGATCAGTTTTATTGAGAAAGTTGTGGAATCATTATGGGCTACATATCTAAGAGATTTTTGTGATTACCATCCTGTAAATTTATGTGTCAACTACTTCTGTTTTGTTTACTGCTTTTTACATTTGAAACTACCCCAGCATACTTAAGGTTGCTGCACTATTAAATTAGCTTTGCTGAGTGACCAAGCTGTACAATTGGTGGTTGATATCTCTTGAACTGTGTCCTATCTTTTTCAAGTGCTCAAGCTTCCTGTTTGATCCTTGTGCAGATTTGTGAAATGGAACCAGGAATTTTTCGAGAATGTGATGCACTTGTGAGGAATTCACAGGGTAGATTGGAAATACTTGCAGTGTCTGTGCATGCTGAGGGGGATACCCAGGTCGATCATTATGATGATGAAGATATAGCGTCACATTTACCGAAGGAATCTGCTGATTCAGCACCATCAAATTTACCCCAGAAATCTATTGATTCGGTGCTCCAACTAAGTGAGAAAATGCAAAAACAGACCATCTCTTCAGGAAATGGGGATGCTGAGGGGGAGGTAAAGCAACACAAGTGCAGCACATGCAATCTGTTTGTAGGGGATTCCAAACAATACAGGGATCACTTTAAGAGTGAGTGGCACAAGCATAATTTGAAACGCAAAACCAGGCAACTCCCTCCTCTTACTGCAGAAGAGTGCTTAGCTGATATGGAAATGAGTGACTCAACATCCGATTTGCAGGATTATTCATTTTGACTTGTGGCTTAAAACTTATGTGGGCGCATATACCTTGTGTTTTTTTGTTTACACTTTTTAGCTGTGTCAATCATCTGGACAGGAACTCACCTGTAAAATTTACTCATGCAAAGTTTTAGTCAATTGTAGTGCAATGCGGTCAGAAAAGTCACCTGTCTCTGGACTTTGTGTATGTTGGTGCATTCTTAAATGATGTTGGTGGACTCCCTCGTTGCCTCTCTCACTTTAAAAGCAATGCCTTTTATTCTTCTATTTATGTCTGTATAGCGCTCATCTAAATCTCTTTTCTCTATAGGAAAAACCGTCTCTTATTGCGTTGTTTGCTTGATACGTTGGAATAGCTCTTCAAAGATTTCAATCTCTTAAAAGAGGACATCAATCCGAAAAATCTAGGTATCATCCAGGGTTTTACAGCAAACTCTAAACTGCGCTTTCGTTCAGTGGTCCCTTCTCCTATTTCATAAAAAGCTAAGTCAAGCAAAGTTATTCCCAAGTAGGGTTGTCTCAAGTGGAGTCCCCAAATGCTAGAACTTGACTCTTTTAGCTAATTCCAACAAGTAAACTATTTGAAGTCGATAATAACTCCAAAGTTATTATATCTCGAGTTGCATGAATTCCTGTTGGTAAAAATTAAGGCAAGATAAAGAAAGAAAGAATTAAAAAAGGAGATTCCATCAACAGACCCACCATCTCCTGAAATGTTCAAATAATCTAATCTACCAGACAAATTTACATCTTCAAAATTGACATTCTGGAACAATTGCCAAATTGAGCATGCTGATTTCCATCTCTGAGAACTTCTAAGATAGTCTCCTTTTAGTTGCTGCCTTATAGTCTGAAGTTTCTCAGAGATCTTGTTCAGTGGTCAAGACTGCACCCAGGATGAATTGCCAAAGCATCACTCGTTCTGTAGCCGTGTAATGCCTAAATCTTCTTCTTTTTCCTTTGCACATGAAATTTTCGCACAGCTTCAAGCTGTTTCGGTGATGATGACATGAGTGCACTTTATTTACATGCCAAGATGCTGAGGAATAGATTTCCATCCATAAACAAACTCGGGCAACAAACTGGGTGTACTTTCTATATTTGTTTCTGATATCTAGTTCATTTACAAATTTCACAAGTTCGTTTTTAGTGAGGGGTCTAAGAGGAGTGCTACGTTGATGGTGCTTTCCAAGGATCAGCTAATGAAGCTAACTAAAAAGTTGGTTGATAAGAAGAATGAAGATAGCTTCCACAAGCTGATTTACACTGTTCAACTGAGTTCGAACAAGGTGACTCAGGTATAGAAGTAATTGATATTTTTTTTTTGAATAGCAAAGGTATCAAGTTTATTCATAGTGCATGGACATGAACCCCTCCTTCCTTACACATTAAAGCAGAAAACCTTGGTTCATATATCAGTCCATTTTATCTAATATATGTTTCCAAAAACCTCCTCAAAAGATCAAAGAAAAACATCTACTGTACACATCACCAATCCAAAAAAACAAAAGCAACCCCAAAGAAAGTCTCAATCAAACAAACCGAGGGTTAACCATAGTTGAACCTCACTTCCACAATCAAGATTACAAAGGAATTAGTACCTTCTCAATATCTCACTTTGAAGATGGATGGCAGCTTTGGCAAGTGAATCGGCTTCTTGGTTAGCCTCTCTCGGTGAATATCTGATTTCCCATTCTGTACATAACTCCTTAAACCTTTCAATCTGATTCATCCAAAATCTTAGTCTCCAAGGCGCACTCGCAGGATCTTTAATCCATCTAACAATATTGCACGCGTCACTTTCATCAACAAGGAATGGTTATCTTTCCATCTCGATGCTGAGAAGATCAAGAAAGCCTCCTTCACAGCAAGAACTTCCGCAGTAGTAGAGTTGGCAATACCAATCGGTTTGGAGAAGGTAATTAACGCCTTTCCCTTCTCATTCCTCAAAATACCCCCAATTCCAGCAGGTCCCGGACATCCTTGAGCCGCTCCATCCACATTAAACTTCAGTTGCCCTAGCTTTGGTTTTTCCCATGTAGCACCTTTTCTCTCTTTTGTTTTCTTTTTACCACCACATCCAACTTCAGGAAACATGAAAGTAGTCAAAACAGAAGGATACTCATTAGGCCATTTAGCATTAGCCCAAGAGGCCACTCTTATCTTTGAGATCTCCCAACATTGTGTACTATCCCAATCTTTACCATTGAAAACAACATCATTCCGGCATTTCCAAATTGTCAAACAACCGCAAAATGCTCATTCGCCATATTCCTCTCATCTGCCTTTCCAGATAATAGTTATTCAGAATCAAAAACAGTTTAACATTACCGGAAACATCCACTGATAGCCAAATAATTCACACCACCTAACCCACACCTTCCATGTTTCAGAGCAGAAAATAACAGTGATTGACAGATTCACTTTCTTTTTATTAACAAAGCACAAGTACTTTGATTATCCTGAATCAGTCCCTACTTACCAGTTCTTCCTTCACTCCAACTTTTCCATGAAGCAATTGCCACACAAATGCCTCAATTCTATGTGGTGCAAGGCTGGCCCCACATTCTTCATATCTTGTCTCTCATGTCAGTGGGCTCATCCATTTTTTGCAAAAAGATTTTGAATGTACAGACCATTGGCCTCACCTTCCACACCATATCATCTTTTAGTGTTTTGCTAATCTGGACATCAATGAGACCAGGATGAGATTATGAGATGTTTACACTTACCATGAGCTCTTTAAAAGTTTTGTTCTGCTGCTTGGTTGTATCCTGTGTCGATATGCTTGTTCTATCGGAGTAAAGGTCTGAAGCTGAAGCCGCCGGCTTGAGAAAGCACAAGAGAACAACAGTAAGAAAGATCACCATTTGCAATATGTAAATTTGATATATAAAGAATACGGAAATAACTACTGTCAGGACTCATACTTGTCCAACAAGTCAGAAAGATTTTGTGATTAAATGGGGTGGGGGTAAGGACAATAGGAAGAAGTTTGAGATCCATTCATTGGCTTGAAGATGACATTGATATATTAATTAAGTAACGTTCGAGTTTCCTTCTCTTGCTATACAATCTTTAATGTGGTTACGAAATGAGGTAGGAGTAGATGAAGAAAAAGTTGCAGCTAGAATTAAGAACATAGATTGTATAGCAGATTTAAGTTATAAAATATGGTTTATAGAAGGGAAAAGAAGGAAACACATATTGAAATAGCCAAGGAGTTCATGGATTATGTCTATCCTGATTGGCATAACAAGTCAAGAAACAATCAAAAATTTGACATAGCCTTTCTTCTTATAATGTGTTATATATATATATATATATATGTTCAAGTATACACAGCCACTAATGCACATGTTAGGGAACCTATAGTAAAATGAAAAAGGAATTCTAAATGATGCCTGCGCATCCTCAGAAGTTATATCGTATATTTTCTTCCACGTAAGCTAGTCAATGCTTCATCAACCAAATTGATTTTTGCTGCTTCTACCAAAGACTGTTCTTGGATAAAGGGATGCTGTAGTAGCTGTACTGCTGTAAGGCGAGCAATTGGATCCCTTTGCAAGCAAAGTTTTATAAAACTCTGTGCATCCGCTGAAAGGTTATCAGGGATTTCAGGAAAATCCTTGCTGTTTGCAATCTTAAATATAGCTGCTACCTGCTTACGATGCGAAACAAAATTAGGTAGGAAAACAAAGCTGACACTATGAAAGATCAGTTGTAGACTTATGAGATATCATACCCCCTCATACTGGCTCCAGGGAGGTTTTGATGTTGCCATCTCAAGAATTGTACACCCTAAGCTCCAAATGTCAACAGCTAGGCTATAGCCACTAGCATTCATTATAACCTGGCAAGACCGATGGATGTTAGGCTAATCCATCAGAGCTTAAATTAACCAACAGAGAAGAAAATAAACAGACAAAAAGAGAATACAATAGATGTGGGACATGTACCTCTGGTGCCATCCAATGTGGACCTATTTTAAAAGAAAGCACTGAAGAACACGATGTCATCTGGGTTTAGAAGACAAATTTATCAGATACATCTTCCCCTTAGTAAACAAGACATTAATAGAAAATGAATTGAGTATAAATAAAATTCATACATGTTTAACCATGCCAGAGTCAACAAGCTTAATTTCACCATTAGAATCTACTAGTATGTTCGCGCCTTTGATGTCCCTGGCAGGTTAAATAGATTTCTTTTGAGTTCCTTGATGTTGTTGATGGGTGAAATACACCTCTTCATAAGAATTTTATTGACCTATGGTAACAATTAAATACCTGTGTGCTGTATTTCTTCCATGTAAGTAAGCTAGCCCGCAAAGTATCTGCCTCTTGTGAGCTCGAATAACAGGTTCCTTGAATGAGCCATATTCACCAAGCAATTTCCGGATTGAACCTCATGAAACGTATTCCACATACACTGAAAGCTTTTCTGTTCCCTGCATCAATTAAAATTGGATCATTTCAAGTTACTCATGAATATATGTACTTTTTTCTCAATATATCACTTTCCTGCATTTGAGGAATAACAGAATTTGTTTTGTCCTATTTTATCCTTGTTATGAAGAATAACATGCATCCGTCTCCAAGTTAGATCAAAACTTCTAAATAAGTTGGATTAGTAGATGCTCTAATGCTCCTACTCAAGTTCATTTATCAGCTTTATCCAGGACTAACTAATATATAGGTGGTCGAACAACATTAGCTTGAGCAGCTTCTAATTGCTTTATTACAAAAAGAAAGAAGGGTTTATTCTTCAAGATACTTGCTGAAGCTACATTTAAATTTAACAAAACACAATATTCTAACACTGTTTTATAGATTGTAGGTAATAAAACATAAAGGACGATGTATAAATGGAGATCATACAGGAAGAAGGAAGGATTTACAAGCCTACCAATTCACTCCCATAATATTGGACAATGTTTGGATGTGACAACTTACTAAGCAATGTTATCTCCTGTTTACATGAGAAGAAAAGATTACAATCAATTGCCTCAAATATTGCCATGTAACTATAAAATAAATATATATAAATAGATGTTTAAGACTGTGTAGTGTCATGAAGAGTGTGTGCATTCATGATTCATCTGTGCTGTGTAATTGATGATGATTGAGATTATTTATTAATTAAGCAGTGAAATTTTGTGAACATTGTTCAGAAGAGAGTATGTAGATGCTATGTGTGGAGAAAATCAAACGAACCT